TGAGGGGGTAGTGGTGGGGTGAACCAGGTGGGCGACAGGATGAGAACGAGCCCAAACGACCCTGAACGTCGCAGTTCGGGGTCATTTGTGCACCAGGGGCATCGTTGGATGGCCCCTGGGGGTGTTGGATGGGTGAGACGCCATGGCGGAGGGCGAGGAGGGCGAGTGGATGGTGGTGGTGGGGTGAACCAGGGGGGCGGCGGCGAAAGAACGACCCCGAACACCTGTATCAGTTAGAAAAATATAGAAATACAAGGCAGTTTCCTAACTATGAATCTAAGCCCTGGAGGGCAACATGCTACCTTCCACTTTGGGAAGGCTCTCCTAATAAGAGGGAGGGGTTGCCAGGTGCCCAGCATCTGCAAGGGTGATGAGGAGGGGGTAAATAAATTAGTAAGCATCCATTTCCGGGGTGGGTGGGTGGTGGGAGGTGCAGGAGGGGGCGGAATGGGGGCAGGATAGGCCAAGCAGGACCCTGGGGCACTGCAGAGAACTGGTCATGTGACCTGTTTGCTCTGCAGCCTCAACCAGGGCCATTTTTTGTGAAAAAAGTGCCCAGGGCCAATGTGATAGTATGTTACTGTATGTCATAAGAAAATCAGGAGAATCTGGGATGTGGAATGTTGCGAAACGGCGTGTATGAGGTGTCACCTTAACTTGGCATGCATTTATTTTTAGCACAAGCTGCTAAATTGGGATCTGGCATTAAAATAGCCATTGCTGGTGCATTTCGGGCTCGTTTGGCTTCCCCCTGGGTGGAAATTGATGGGAACGATGACACAATAATTTTGAGGGAATTCATAGCTACCTGTAGACACCCAGAACGTGTGAATATGACCATTTTTGGCGATGTTATGGCCTAAACTGTGCTTCTATGCACAAAAATGCGAAAATGCGCACCTAATGCTCTGCCTCTCATGCATCCCTGCCTAATAAAAACTAGCCGATAATTTAGTATGCTACTAGAGCTTCAGAACGAGCCAATAATAATGGTCTTGCATGCATTATTGGTTATGCAATGAGCCTTTCGATGTCTATGTGCTAAAAAACCGAAAAATCGCACTCAAATCTCTATGCCACACATGTATCTATCCTTCCAAAAAATTATGCGTTCAGATATATGTTGATAAAGGCTACAAAACGCGCTATTAAGTGTCTCCACGCATTCATTTGTTCCAAAGATATACCCAAGACACTCCTCATCCCTCAATATCACAAAAAGCGAACTTCTGTATCTCCCCCAATTATTATCCAAGACCTGTAGAACTTTTCAGTCAGTCTCACCCAGTGCCCTACTCACTATTTACAATCACATAGCATGCATGGTATAGACTCCCTTTTAATATAATATAAGCACCCCTTCCTCCTCCCCCTGAAAAGCCAGAAATGCGCCCTCCATTTCCCATTCCCCAGGCTATTTATGCGAGCTGTAACATATATGCATATTAATAGTAGCCATATAGGTACCTCCATGCAAGAATACAGGAGTTAATAATGCCAAATGCACTTGCAGTGGCCAACTTCGGGTTTTCTACCTATAATCACCTTGTTTGCCCCATGGGATGCCCAATTCTTCACCAATCTTCAAGAAGAAACATGTCCCAGAATCGGAACAATCTCCTCTTCAACTTACAACACCTTTGAGATGACAGACTGTGTAGAAACACCCCCATTCCGTTACCAAAGACACTTCCTCCTTCTTGTCCAGGAGATTCCCACAATGTTGGTGGACATGGCATCCTTCTGGCATGTCCTCTAGTGCCCCAAATCTCCTCAGATAGCTCAGAACACTTACTATCCTACTGCTAGAGTGATATAGAAAAAATCCAATGCAAGTTGAATAAGAACTGAATATTTTATTCATGCAACTGTCCTTCTGCCTTCTCAATTGCCCTCTCCAAGATTCTACCTCGGATTGGAGGTATAGTCCTTGCTCTAAAATTTCGTAAAAATGTGTTTAAAATATATATTATAGATTATAGTAACTATCAGGTGTTTGTAAACCCCTCTCAGACCTGTGAGCTATGATACTACCTCCAGTTTCCGGGGTGAACACATTTGACAAACTAGGCAATATGGTGATCACCACTCCTCACCAGTCTGTTTGAGGTTCATTTCAGACCTTCTGCCTTCCACAATGACCCAATCACAATAGAACTTTTTGAGGACACTTAGAAGTAGTCAGTAGAATGTCTCTGCATTGTCTGATTAATTATATATATCCTTGATCTCCTTAAAAGTGGCAATCAGTTAAATTTTTATGTTATCTACGGTGTCACATTGGTCATCTCAAAGGTGTTGTAAGTTGAAGAGGAGATTGTTCCGATTCTGGGACATGTTTCTTCTTGAAGATTGGTGAAGAATTGGGCATCCCATGGGGCAAACAAGGTGATTATAGGTAGAAAACCCGAAGTTGGCCACTGCAAGTGCATTTGGCATTATTAACTCCTGTATTCTTGCATGGAGGTACCTATATGGCTACTATTAATATGCATATATGTTACAGCTCGCATAAATAGCCTGGGGAATGGGAAATGGAGGGCGCATTTCTGGCTTTTCAGGGGGAGGAGGAAGGGGTGCTTATATTATATTAAAAGGGAGTCTATACCATGCATGCTATGTGATTGTAAATAGTGAGTAGGGCACTGGGTGAGACTGACTGAAAAGTTCTACAGGTCTTGGATAATAATTGGGGGAGATACAGAAGTTCGCTTTTTGTGATATTGAGGGATGAGGAGTGTCTTGGGTATATCTTTGGAACAAATGAATGCGTGGAGACACTTAATAGCGCGTTTTGTAGCCTTTATCAACATATATCTGAACGCATAAGTAGATACATGTGTGGCATA